ATTTTAGTTTTACGGCGTGGTTAAGGTGCCTCTTTAGATATGTACAGTCTGGTTACCGTGTGCTAGGAATCCATTTATAGCGCACTACTTGAGGCTGAATTGCGGTTGGGCACACCCCTTTGTTGCATAGTGAGTCGACCGGGGAGTGCGCAACAGACCCAACGCTCACGCAGGGTATGCGAGTTCCTTCACACACTCTCTAGTTACCACTTGAGTCACAATCCACTTCTTGGTCTGATGCTCCGAAGCATCTCAGACTCTTCGTGATAATCTGCAGACATGTAGTTGTCTATTCCTTCACATCTCTCCACAGGATGGAGACACAGCAGTCATAATGGCTGTAAAGAGTCATGAACCAGACACTCTGAGGGAGCTAGTGAGGGCAGGGAGTGACCTCAACCTACAGAACAATGTGAGATACACAGTTACTGTGGACACTGCACCACATATCATCCCCAGTCCTCCATATTAGGAGGGGCTCACTCCACTAATGATAGCTGCCAGGAGTGAGAGAACTGACATTACTAACATTCTACTGGAGGGAGAACACATCAACCTGGACATTCAAGAGGAGGTAATGGTTTAATACACCTAGTCTTGATCATATGCATCAGGCTAGAAGAAGCCTTTCTACACTAGGTACTGCTTCAGCAGTTGCTATTTAGTCTCATGTGGCCAGACTCTTACTCGCAGGAGAGTCTGGTCCACTGATGTAGAGCATTTTGGTTTAGAGCACACCCGGATTCCAAGGAGCGAAGGAATTCGAATGTTGGGTGTGGTTTTTGCATGACCACCACAAGCATAGTTGAACATGCTTGGAAATGGATCCAGTGTGTTTACTGTGCATGTGCAATTGCCGGTGTGACATAATAACTGGGCCACATCCACCAAGAATCAAGCAAGCAATGTAGCAATAGCTTCCATACTCGCAAGAAATCCCAGCCGTTTATCCTTACCAGACCTTTGATGGAGTTACTCTCTCATCCACAGTGCACTGGCTTGTCAGCTCTCCACTTCTCTGCTGACAGAGGAGACTCAGCTACCACAGAAGCACTGCTCAAGGCAGGAGCTAATCTTCACCTCAACGACAAGGTTTGGGAATCTACAAGTCCTCCATGAGCCCACCTAGTCCATTTTAGTTTCACGGCATGGTTAAGGTGCTTTTTTAGACATGTATATACTGGTTTACTGATGAGGACACACAGAGTCCTACATACCTCATGAGGGGGACTCACATGTCATGGAAAAGTTACTAGCCACTTTCACATTGAACATTGCGTTCATCACGCACTCCCAGAAGTTTTACGCCCCCTTGTTGTATAGTGAATCGACCTGGGCATGTGCAACAACAGACCCAATGCTCGCGCTGAGTACAGGAGTTCCTTCAAACTCTCTCTAGTTCAAACTAGAGTCACAATCCACTTGTGGGTCCGAAGTACTCTTGCCACTCCTACACCTCTCAGACTCTCTTACTGATATTTTCACACAGCCACTATTGTGCACTTATTTGCTACCTTTTATCACACAGGATGGTGACTCTGCCTTGACTCTAGCAGCCTGGTGTGGTCACACTAATTTTGTTGTAAAGCTGGTGAAAGCAGGAGCCGATTTGGACCTACAGAATAAGGTGCAAAACTACATTGAGCCACTTATTGCCCCACGAAAGATTAGATTTCAACATACAACGATTATACCTTACTTAATTGGCGAGCGGCTAGTCGTCACAACCGCTGATTTTTCTGTTCTCTTACGACACTGCCACCGATACCGTAATGTTGTACGTGATTCTAAATAAACGGAAGCTTGTAGCAATACAATATTACCACGTGCATGTATAGTTATGGGCCTGCGTCGATTATTCCAGAATAATTTCGGGAATAATAGGTCCCTCTGGGAATAAGAATAATTCCAAGAATAATAGGTTGAAAATTTCCAGGCGAGCGACGAGCCGGCAACGGCGGCAACTCGCGGAACGAAGGGCGAAGCGCGAGTGGACGCGCGTCACGTGCGCGTACGAGTGGGTCAAAACGGAACGGACTCCGACTCGGACAGGGTAAACACCACGTGGATAAAATGCCGTCGACTTCCCATCCGGTAGATCCGGCTCTGTATAGTACTGTTTTTTCATTTTTCAAGCAGAATAATAGATAAATTTCTGTGAATAATGGGTAAACTTTAAAGAATAATAGGCATATGGAGTAGGAAATTCAGAATAGAATATCCGGACAAATTGTGGGAATAATAGTCTCAGGCGTTGCCAGCTACAGTTTATGTGAAATCATGATGGGCGGAGCATCCGAGCTCAACCCCCGCTACGGAAAGCAGGGAGAGGTATATACTTGGCTAGGCGCAGAGAGAGAGACAGAGGATATCCGAGACAGACATCGTCGTGCTTCAGAAACCGCGGAGACCTGACAGCGGCAACAATCGTTGAGGACCGTGCTCGCCGGAGACAGCGTCTTGCTTCTGAGACGGCCAAGGAGAGGGAGACGCGCCTGTCACAACATAGGGTGCGGGAGAGAGCGTGGCGTGCAGCACGATCGTCCGTGGAGAGGGACACACGGATGAGAACCGCTGACTGGCGGATCGGAGACGTAACCACTAACCGTTAGTTGGATCGCTCCCGCTCGCCAAAAATGCACTGCATTCACCTAGTAATGGCCACACAGACTCTTAATAGACTTGAAATCCTCCTACCACAATGTCTTATTTTGATAGCCTGTTTTATGGTGTCCTTATTTATTACATATGTATCGCTTTATCACACAGGCTGGTGCATTACAGGTTATCCTTTGTTGTATCCATAGAAATAATAATTATGTGGAAGAACATCAGATCGGCGAGGGCTAGGACCTGGGTTCAAGCTGGTCTTGCTAGCAAGACCCACTCCAGCCAAAGCCTGTAACAGGGTGTCATTAGCATCCCCTTTGCACATTGCTTGTGTGCTGCTCCTTCCCTTTTTGAAACTTGAGTCAAAATCCACTTTCCGAGCTATACTTGCACCTCTCAGACCCTCTTTGTCATAATCTGTGGAAATCTATTCTCATCTCTCCACAGAATGGAGACACAGCAGTCATAATGGCTGTAAAGAGACATGAACCAGCCACTCTGAGGGAGCTAGTGAGGGCAGGGAGTGACCTCAACCTCCAGAACCAGGTGAGATACACAGTTACTGTGGACACTGCACCACATATCATCCCCAGTCCTCCATATTAGGAGGGACTCACTCCACTAATGATAGCTGCCAGGAGTGGGAGAACTGACATTACTAACATTCTACTGGAGGGAGAACACATCAACCTGGACATTCAGGAGAAGGTGAGCACCCACAGAGCAAATGGTGAAGCCAGCAGTATAAATCTATGGCTTCACCTGAATTGCTGTATCTACTCTCTCATAATGCAGAGAACAGGGCAGTCAGCCCTCCATTTCTCTGCTGAGGAAGGAGACTCAGCTACAACAGAAGCACTGCTCAAGGCAGGAGCTAATCCTCACCTCAAAGACAAGGTTTGGGAATCTATACAACAACCCTTACTTTCTCCTCCACGAGCCCACCTAGTCCATTTTAGTTTTACGGCGTGGTTAAGGTGCTTTTATTGTGTTGGTCTCTACTTTTCTCTATTGGTGAAGAATGGGGCAACAGCAATGGAGATTACTGAACAACGAGCTCAATCTAGCCTTGTGTCCAAGACATTGCCAATGAGAGTGATGATGACTCAACCCAGCCTTTATGATAGTCAGGTATGCTATAGCAAAACTTATCAGAGTGCTACATGTCTCATGAGCCAAATTTCCTGATTTCCAGGGCTCAGGTAAACACAAATATAATAGACATTAGCTATAATGACAAGGAGACGCCATTGAGACAGAAAGCATTGCAAAAGCTTGCACACTAATAATAGGGCTACTCCACCTCATGCCACGTATTTACTGCAGTGTAACCCATTATACAGGTATTCATTGCTGAGTGAAATTTGAAATAGCTGATCTAAATATACGTACATGTATTGTTAACCCTCGGCGCACATGCGCAGCGAGGGTTACAGTAGTTGGGTTTGTCTGTGTGTCTGTCTGTTACTCTACATCTCACCTCTCAAATGTCTGTTCGTCCCAGAAATGATACCATCTACCCAACGGGCGACGAAGGTCAGAAAATATGTGGGGTTTTCTCTGAAAATGCTCCGTTGCAAAGCTAGAGCGCTTCCAGCATTGTATGGCTAATGCCGGTAGTCGCCATTTTATCGCTGGCGGATAATACGCATGTGCTTATATTTAGCACAGGCTTACCTCGACCGGGTCCGCTTGCTCTGTCTATCTTGAAGGCACAAGAAGTCACAACGAATGGCGTGTATCGACTCTCGCGTGCTATCTACTACTGTAGCTAGCCCATGTCAGACTCTCTGCGAGCTACTTCGCCGAGGGTTTGCACTTTAGTGCTTTTCATTATAAATGGCATGGAGATGTCAGTTGATTAGCCATAAGCGAGTTTGAATTATGTGGGTTACACTGTATCTTTAATTCCCATGCAGTATGCACTGAGATATCAGAGACAGCTCAAGTCGGAGAGAGACGATCTGGGAGGAGATGATACTAGTTCATCACTCACACGTCTCAAGTTAAAAGAACTAGAGCTCGTGTCTGAGGGCAAAGTTCCCACAGCAGGACAGCAGTCTCAAATCAAAATGAAAATGACACCAGAGATGGACCCTGAACATAGTCCAGACTTCAATTTGTGAAGTATATATACACCGGATGTCATGTGTTTATCCAATATATACACTATGGTACACGTTACCGGCAACGACGCATTATGAGGTATACACGATTAGTAACACCCACTTAGCTGTACTAGCAGAGGGCTGAGCTATACTTCCAATTACACCCACTTGGCTTTCCTTACAGGGAATTCAGGCATTGTGCTGGAAAAAGTATACCAAGTAGGTTTGATGATGGCTCTATTCCCGCTGCAGGCTCATAGAGCACACCTGCCACCATCAAACCTATACATGTTTGGTCTCTCGTAACGTATAATTATCTACAGAGAAGACAGCTCCTGTATCGAATTATTATTACACAAACAACTATAGAGAGTCAAAATGAAAGTGACACAAGAGATGAACCTTGAACATAGTCTAGACATCGATTAGTAAAGGTAGTGTACCTGTTCTGAGAGATAATGTCATGTGTTTATCCAATGAACATGTTTGAGCCCTTGTAAGTGTACAATTAAATCTACAGAGAAGACAGCTCCTGTATCAAATTATTATTACATACATACGTAGCAACTATAGAGAGTCAATGGAGGTCCTACAGAAAGGACAGTGTCCTTTGCACAGTCCCTGTAGCTCATAGTCATCAGCCAAGAACATCTGCAGCAATCAGTTAAACATCAACTAGAAAGAGGTAATGTATTCCCCATAGTGCACAGATTGCACATAATACTCTGAAGTGGAGATGGCCACCGAGTGAGCCTGGATTAGATGTTGCAGCCTATGCCATGGAACGCGCACATATTGCATATTAAAAATGCCCATTTTCCGAGAGCATAAAGTGGTTCTTGCATGATATTATGTATGTCCAATCCATGGAGATGTGTGGGAAAGGAGCTGCAGCTGACCTTATTACAGGAGCCACAGAGGGAGATGGGGAAGTCGGGCATGACCGAGCGGTAGTACTGGTTTCCAATTGGAGCCCCCCACTCCTTGACCATGACCTCTGACCTGTGTAGTCTGGTGAGTACTGAGCGACCGACCTCCACTGGTTGGAACTAACTGCCACCCTGTGCCAGATGCAACACAGTATATAGAGTTAGTGACTATATACTTGAGCAAAACCAAACTGCATTAGGTACAGGCCTATATAGCGCAACTGACAGGCTCACTGCACTAGCATATAAAGTGATTGCACATCTATTGGTAGGATACCTCAGTATCAGTGGAAGTGAAAGGGTCGTTCTCATCACCTAACTGATCATCTGATGGTCCAGACAGTACTAGAGTCTGGGTAGCTGTATACGTACTGTCAGGAACATAACCTGCCACAAAGACACAGTCCACACAGCACAGTCTACTATATACTCTATGGTATGGATGGATGGATACTGCCTTCATCTGTGATAACTGGGGCACTGGTCTTCTTCTGTGGAGGCTCCATTTGTATCAGTCTCACTGCCTCCTCATCACTGCAGACAAAACACATTTTGAGTTACAGCTATTGGTGAAGCAGACAGATGCAGCATCAAATTTGACTAGGCTTAAGTAAGGTGTTTGTTATCTTACCTGATTCCTTCCTCTAACACAAAGCTCCACCACTGGTAAAGAGAAAAATCATAAAGTAAGGTTGATCTCTGCTCTCCTACTCACCAAAGGAGACGAAGGAACATGATCTCTTCCTGGGCCCTGGGTTTACAGGGGAGAAGTATGCATATATATCCATAGTCCCTTAGAACACCATATGTAGCTAACCACCTGAAGCAGCATTGCTAGTACACAAACTACTATTGGGCCGAGTGCTGGGAGGCTATGCGTGTAGAACCGGAGAGGAGTCCATTGGAGAGGACGAACCATCTCTTCTGGTACCCCTTGATGTAGTTGGTCAGCAAGTGCTCTGGATACGCCCCGCCCCATGCAGACTTTCAGGTCAAAGTCCGAGTGGGCGTGGCTCAAGTGTTTGTTTACGAGACCCGCCCCCATTTAAAGATATGGCCGACTGCGGCGAGCCCCCTGAGATTGCAGCGCTTCGTACGAATCTCACTTCCATCACTGACGCGGTGACGGTCGGAGGCAATCTACAATGGTTTTCAAACTGCCTCGTGGAGAAAGCCTTCATTCCAAGGAGAGTGGCACAAGAAATACTCGACGTCAGCGGAGCTACGCCCGCGAGCAAAGCTGGTCATCTCATGGACAGCGTATTTGTAGTACTCCGAACGACAGATGAGAGAAGACGTCGGTTTGACGAGTTCGTCTCCATTTTTTCCACCGATGAAGCGTACGCCGGGCTCGTGTCAAAATTTAAACGTTGCGTTGAGAACGAAGGCGCTGACCACCAAGTTGCCGATATTTCCAACCAGCTAGAGGATTCCCAGCTAGATTCCCAGCCTGAGGATCCCCAACCAACCAACTCAATTTTTCAACCTGTCACCGCACCCTTTCCCACTTCTCAGCCTACTACTTCTCCGCTCCCTACAGGGCGTTCTTGGACCAACACCATCAAGCAATGGTTCAATGGTTTGACGCAATGATTCACCTCCACTCCAGAAGGTGAGGGCACCTCCACTCCAGAAGGTGAGGGTAGTGAGGTTACTCCTGCTGCCCCCACCCCTCCATCCACTCCACCAGCCACTGGTCCTAAGGAGTCTCCTGCCCCATCATCCACCACCACATCCTCTTCACCTCCCGTCCCACCTCCACCCTCTCCCCACCACCCTTCCACCCCACCCTTCTGGAGTCTGGAGAAGGTCAAGGCCACCATTCAGGAGCTGGAAGAGATGTTTGCTGATCTACATGCTAAAGCAGGAGCTGAAATAAGTAAAAAGGAAGCTGAAGATCAAAATTTTTTACAGAAATTTCGTAGTCGTCTTCTACTCCTGCCTGTCCGCAAAGCAACCCTCCATGAAAAGTTCTTCAATGCCAATGAAGACGAGATTCTAGCGCCCCAAAACAGTACAAAAATTCTAGCCATTCTCTGCCGTTTTATCGATTACCGTAACTACGAGATTCTATATGATGTTGTCCTAACATTTTGTGGTACTTCACTTCAAGAAAGGATGAAAAACTATTGCAAAATGCTCGAAGAATTTGAAACTGCAACAACAGTTGATATGTACAAAAAGGTGATGCCGAAAGAAGCCAAAGAAGTAATGAAAGGTTTCTCTGAAATGGTTTTGAAGATTAACAAGCCCGAATCACAATGCACCCTCCATGAAGTCCGAGAGCTCAACAAGGAGATCATTGCAAAGTCAACTCTCTGCTCTTACAGCGTCTACATTAGAGCCGTGTCCACAAACTGTGTGGTGGTTAGGCTTAGGTTTCCTTCCAGTGCAGTGGGCTGGGTGCTAGCAGCCATCACTCCCGACTTCATGACCACACATCGTCTCACAGAGGTGACTGTGGATGGCCATCAACTATCCCTTATACAGGCCCAGAGATATGAATTGGTACGCAAATAAAGTATACATGTGATGTAATTAATGTCTCTTTGCGTTCACCTGAGCCCTGGAAGTCATTGTGTAAAGTATATACTGTGAACAGCTGACTTTGACTGAAGGACACCATCAAAACGAAATTTTGCAAGCATTAGGATGGTGTTAGCATTTATACCAGTTTTGTAGCTAGCTACTGTGTGTAACAATTTGTCGAAGGCTCAGGTGAACTTTCGACGTGCAAGTGATACAGTTATGTGTGTTTATAGCAGTAGCCCTGACATCGCTGCAGTGAAGGTTTTCAGCTTAGTACTAAAACACTAACCCATCTCCATGTGTTGTAAGAGAAGGTAGAACAAAATACAAAATATTAGTGTTGCAGATGTGCATTTCCCAGTACACTTACACAAGTATGCAATTCCTTTTGGGTCCAGGGTTTGTACATTAATGTTTCTCATTACATTCATAAGGAAAAGTTAGGACGTAAGCACTGGCATGTACTCAGAAAGATCTGCACATCTCGCTCCCGAATTCATGTTTGGTAGGCTGAAAGGAATGTGTGATGAGTGTGTGAGTGAGAAGGAGAGGGAAAAGGTAGAAAGAAATGAATGTGGGGCATTTGAACCTTGTTTCCCAGGCAAGTGCACTAGCTACCAAGGAATGCCACAGATGGTATGCAACGGAAATGGATATATACTCTGACTCCTAAGCGGGCATATTCATAGTGCAGAAACACTGGCACAGATAGCTTTCTTCACCAGGTTACTTAGTACACTCATTATAGAGTTATTGTTGCTCTACAGAATAAGCTTAATGCTGCTTGTAGAGAAGGAGATGTGATGCGAGTTGTGTCTCTTCTCAACAGTGGAGCTCATATGGAGACTGAGGACCGGGTATGTTACTTTTAACCACTGAGGAGTTCCAAAGTCACGCACAGAGCAGCAACCCACCTTTTATCACCTACATGCCTCTTTCTGATGTCCTACTGTAAGCATGTTCAATCACAGCAAAGCAATAACAATGGCATCAATTTTTGTTAGTTCCGCACATCATGATACTGCTGTCTTGGTTCTCATTAGTTGCCACGGACTCCGTTGGAATGGGCTAGTCAGTATGGTCATCTCCAAGTGGTTCGTCTTCTTATATCAAGAGGAGCTCAGCTCAACCACCAGGATGAGGTGAGACAGTTTCTAAGGGTGAACCCCTCCACTGATGGTCATGTCATTACTAAGCAATACTTGTGCAGGTTGGAGCAGCACCATATGCGCATGTGTGGGTGTCAATGTCTAAGTCACATGGCTGAAAAAGTCTCTGAATTTTATTTCTCGGAAGTCATTAGCATAATCCCAATGAATTCGTTGGTGCAACTTTCCCTCTCTCCATTCTCTCTCCTCCCACTAGGTGGCTTTTAATTGCTCCTCCATACATTCTTAACAGGAGAAAAAAGCAGTGCTTGACTTCACCCAGAGCGAAGAGTTCCTCGTCATTACGTGCAGTGGCATTTTGCCACCATATGTTTTATGCAGACAATGCCTATATATGCTCCTACGGTATAATTATACAGGACCACGGAAAATGGGTGTTGCATAGTTCTGAGCATTACCTATTTTTCTGCCCACTCATGGGCCATGCCTACTTTTATGAATATACTAAGTTATAAGTTTATATATAAGTTTGTAAAAATAATTTAAAGGGCTTCTCAGCTGTGCTACTAAAACATCAACTGAATATTGTCTAACCACGAGATTTGATTTGCTCTCTGATTAAAGTGACTATCCTCCAGCCACCATGTGTTACTGCCGAGCGCGTTAGCGTGAGGCAACTACTCCGGGTTGTATTCGCGTACGTACGTACATACGTGTCGCCACGCTTAAGAATGTCAATTAGTCACGCTTAGGAATGTCACTTCCGTCATCCGTAGGAAGTCTCGTGCGCGCAGATTCGTAGGAAGTCTGGCTTCGCGCGGAGTGGTGCGAGGCAAAATAATATGCGCGTGCGCATTCCTAGTATAGTTCTTTTTTACATGGGCAACATGGCCTATCTTTTATCACACAGGTTGGGACTTCTGCCTTGACTCAAGCAGCCGGGGATGGTCATGCCGATATTGTTGTAGAACTGGTGAAAGCAGGAGCCAATTTGGACCTTCAGCGAAATGTATCAGAAATGTTTTATGTGTCATTAATAGACAGACAATGTTTGTTGTCACACAGGATGGAGACTCAGCACTGATGTTGGCAGTAAAAAATGGTCACACTAATGTTGTTGTGAAGCTGGTGAAAGCAGGAGCCAAGTTGGACCTACAGAATAAGGTCCAAAACTACCATACCTGACAAACTTAGAACACTTACTATAACACAAACATAAATTTCAACAGACGAGGTACCTAGTTAAAATTGGCATCACAGGCACTTAGCAAATTTGATAGAACACAGACACCTGCAACCATATCTTAGACTGCCTGTTCTATTATGGTGTCCTTGTTTTGCCACTGCAGGAGGTGAACTCTGCCTTGACTCTAGCAGCCTTATTTGGTAGCACTAATGTTGTTGTGGAGCTGGTGAAAGCAGGAGCCAAGTTGGACCTACAGAATAAGGTGTGAAACCAATTGCCACACAATATAGATTTCAACATACAAGGAATCATACCTTACTCTATGGCCACATAGACACTTGACAAAAGTTACAACAAGTGAATCCTCCTGCCACCATGTCTTGTCCTATGGTGTCCTTCACATAATGTCACAGGAAGGGGACTCAGCAGTGATGCTAGCAGCCTGGCGTGGAAAAACTGGTATTGTTGTGGAGCTGGTGAAAGCAGGAGCTAATTTGGACCTTCAGGATAATGTATGAATAATGTTTCATTGTTGCTAGGCAGTCAAGTTTTTGTCACACAGTTTGGGGACTCAGCACTGATAACAGCAGCCTGGCGTGGTCACACTAATGTTGTTGTAAAGCTGGTGAAAGCAGGAGCCAAGTTGGACCTTCAGAATAAGGTGCAAAACTACATATAACCACTCCTACCCTTCTCAGAAAAATGAGCAGCCCTGACAAACTTGCACACTTATTGTCACAAAAATACATAGATTTGGCACCACAGACATTAGTAAACTGGCTATAAGTTACTAGAAAACTTGCTCTCACACAGAGTAAATTCTCCTGCTACTGTGTCTTATCCCCTTTGAACTCTCTCTAGTTGAAACTTCTCAGACTCTCTTTGTCATAATCTGTAGAAATCTATTCCACAGGATGGAGACACAGCAGCCATAAAGGCTGTAATGAGTCAAGAACCAGCCACTCTGAGGGAGCTAGTGAGGGCAGGGAGTGACCTCAACCTCCAGAACCAGGTGAGATACACAGTTACTGTGGACACTGCACCACATATCATCCCCAGTCCTCCATATTAGGAGGGACTCACTCCACTAATGATAGCTGCCAGGAGTGGGAGAACTGACATTACTAACATTCTACTGGAGGGAAAACACATCAACCTGGACATTCAGGAGAAGGTGAGCACCCACAGAGCAATCGGTGAAGCCAGCAGTATAAATCTATGGCTGTCACCTGAATTGCTGTAACTACCCTCTCATAATACAGAGAACAGGACGGTCATCTCGAATCCTTTGTTGTGTCCATCGTCCATATAAAGAATAATTATGCTGCCAGAGCCTGTAACAGGGTGGCATTAGCATCCCCATTGCACATTGCTTGTGTGCTGCTCCTTCCCTTTTTGAAACTTGAGTCAAACTCCACTTTCTTAAGCTACACTTGCACCTCTCAGACCCTCTTTGTCATAATCTGTGGAAATCTATTATCATCTCTGCACAGAATGGAGACACAGCAGTCATAATGGCTGTAAAGAGACGTGAACTAGAACCAACCACTGTGATGGAGCTGGTGAGGGCAGGGAGTAACCTCAACCTCCAGGACCAGGTGAGATACACAGTTACTGTGGACACTGCACCACATATCATCCCCAGTCGTCCATATTAGGAGGGACTCACTGCCCTAATGATAGCTGCCATGAGTGGGAGAACTGACATTACTAACATTCTACTGGAGGGAGAACACATCAACCTGGACATTCAAGAGAAGGTGAGCACCCACAGAGCAAATGGTGAAGCCAGCCGTATAAATCTATGGCTGTCACCTGAATTGCTGTAACTACTCTCTCATAATGCAGAGAACAGGGCGGTCAGCCCTCCATTTCTCTGCTGAGGAAAGAGACTCAGCTACAACAGAAGCACTGCTCAAGGCAGGAGCTAATCCTCACCTCAAAGACAAGGTTTGGGAATCTATTATATACAAACCCTTACTTTCTCCTCCACGAGCCCACCTAGTCCATTTTAGTTTTACGGCGTGGTTAAGGTGCTTTTATTGTGTTGGTCTCTACTTTTCTCTATTGGTGAAGAATGGGGCAACAGCAATGGAGATTACTGAACAACGAGCTCAATCTAGCCTTGTGTCCAAGACATTGCCAATGAGAGTGATGATGACTCAACCCAGCCTTTATGATAGTCAGGTATGCTATAGCAAAACTTATCAGAGTGCTACATGTCTCATAAGCCAAATTTCCTGATTTCCAGGGCTCAGGTAAACACAAATATATAGACTTTAGCTATAATAATGACAAGGAGATGCCATCGAGACAGAAAGCATTGCAAAAGCTTGCACACTAATAGGGGTATATACTCCACCTCATGCCACGTATTTACTCCAGTGTACAGGTATTCATTGCTGAAGTGAGGAAATTTGAAATAGCTGATCGAAATACGTACATGTATTGTTATAAATGGCATGGAGATGACAGCTGATTAGCCATAAAAGAGTTTGAATTGTGTGGGTTACACTGTATCTTTTCCCCATGCAGCGTGCTGTGAGACACCTCAAGTCGGAGAGCAAAGATACTGAAGGAGATGATACTAGTTCCATGCTTGCACTTCTCAAGTCGGAGAGCAAAGATCTTGAAGGAGATTATACTAGTTCATCGCTCACACATCTCACGGGACAAGAGCTCGAGTCTGAGGGCAACAATCCCACAGCAGGACAGCAGTCTCAAATCAGAAAGGAAATTACACCAGAGATGAACCCTGAACATAGTCCAGACTTTGATTAGTAAAGTTAGTGTACCTGTTCTGAGAGATAATGTCGTGTGTTTATCCAATAAACATGTTTGAGCTCTCGTAAGGTATAATTATCTACTGAGAAAACAGTATCGAATTATTATTATTATGTATGTAACAACTATAGAGAGTCAATGGACGTCCTACAGAAAGGACAGTGTCCTTTGCACAGTCCCTGTAGCTCATAGTCATCAGCCAAGAACATCTGCAGCAATCAGTTAAACATCAACTAGAAAGAGGTAATGTATTCCCCATAGTGCACAGATTGCACATAATACTCTGAAGTGGAGATGGCCACCGAGTGAGCCTGGATTAGATGTTTCAGCCTATGCCATGGAACGTGCACATATTGCGTATTAATAAATGCACCATTTTCCAAGCACTTAAAGTGGTCCTTGCACGATATTATGTATGTCCAATCCACGGAGATGTGTGGGAAAGGAGCTGCGGCTGACCTTATCACAGGAGCCACAGAGGGAGATGGGGAAGTCAGGCATGACCGAGCGGTAGTACTGGTTTCCAATTGGAGCCCCCCACTCCTTGACCATGACCTCTGACCTATGTAGTCTGGTGAGTGCTGAGCGACCGACCTCTACTGGTTGGAACTCACTGCCATCACCCTGTGCCAGATGCAACACAGTATAGTTAGTGACTAGCAAAACCAACTGCATTACGGGACTAAATAGCGCAACTGACTGCACTAGCATATAAAGTGATTGCACATCTATTGGTAGGATGTACCTCAGTATTAGTGGAAGTGAAAGGGTCGTTCTCATCATCACTGATCATCTGGTGGTCCAAACAGTACTAGAGTCTGGGTAGCTGTATACATACTGTCAGGAACATAACCTGCCACAAAGACACAGTCCACACAGCAAACTAAAACCCTACAGTACACTGGATGGATGGATACTGCCTTCATCTGTGATAACTGGGCCACTGCTCTTCTTCTGTGGAGGCTCCATTTGTATCAGCCTCACTGCCTCTTCATCACTGCAGAGACAAACACACCTTTACACATTTTGACTTACAGCTATTGCTAAAGCAGACAGATGCAGCAGCAAAATTTGACTAGGCTTTTTAGGTAAGGTGTTGTTACCTGACCTGATTCCTTCCTCTAGTACAAACTCCACCACTGGAAGAGGCTCTGGTATAATGGGAAAGAGAAACATCATAGAGTCAGTAAGGTTGATCTCTGCTCAAGAACTAACCAAAGGAGACGAAGGAGAACTCGAGAGGTTGTCTACACGAGGTGCAGGCATTTCCAGTCTGTCTCAGTAGAGAGTTGGTAGTGGAGCAGCGATAGCACATGGGGAGAAGGTCCTGTGGACAAATGCACAAACAACTCTTACAGCAAAGTCCTCTAATATGTATACCACCAACACCACCAATATAAGTGGCACACATTTTTAGCTACACAGCAATGCATGATTGGCCCAGTTGGTAGTGTAGGAACTCTGGCACAGGTTGTCCACATCTTCGCAACCACTGTCATGTTTTACTGTCACAAACACACTCGTTGTCTTGTAACCACTACACCACAGCCCCGATCCGCACCTAGCTCTATCTTATAAAAGCACCATGCATTATCATTGAGCAGCTTCCATAATATTTTGAGCAGAACCCCTGTCGGTTTGAACTGCGAGAGAACGCCACGCTACAATTGGCGTAGTCGGCAGGATAACCTGGATGGCAACGAAACCGGTTGTGTTGCCCGAGCCCTACGATGGGAAATCGTCTTGGGGTGATTGGAAGCTCCAGTTCGAGGACGTAGCCGCAGTCAACGAATGGAATGCTGGACAGAAACTCAAGTGGCTACGTGTCCGCCTAACTGGTCGAGCGCAGAAGGCGTTCCACCGCCTACCAGGAGAAAGTCAGGCCTCTTATGATGCCGCTACAAGAGCCCTGCAGGAGAGGTTCGAGCCGAAGAGCCGGATGACCCGATATCAGGCGGAATTCGAGACCCGCAGCAAGAAACGCTCCGAAGGCTGGGCTGATTTCGCAGAGGACCTCCGCTCCCTAGTCGACAAGGCGTTCCCTGATTTACAACCCGAGGCAAGAGAGCGTCTCGCTCTGCAAACGTATCTCAAACAACTCGAGCAACCTCAAGTCGCTTTCAGCGTCCGGCAGCGCCGTCCCGCTACACTCGACGATGCCGTCACCGCCACCTTGGAGATGGAGTCGTACATCGCTCCCCCGCGATCCTGTGTACAGTCAGTCACTAGCAGCGCGGATCCTGAAGATCGCGATGCAACAGGCGCGACCCCCGTCGCCGCAGTCAACTCCGGTTCAACAGCGGAACTCTCGGCCATGATGGAGAAGTTGATGAACCGCGTGGAGACCTTGGAGAGACGACGGCCACCGCAGTCTATGCGTTCCCAGGATGAGGCTTCGCCGACGAACCGACGTCAACGCCGGAACGCAGCTATCATTTGCTGGAACTGCCGACGACCAGGGCATATCGCGCGTAATTGCCGTCAACCTCCCCAGCCCCAGCAGTACCAGGGAAACGAATCGCCTCCGGTGGAGAGAGCCGCCTACCGGAGGGTGTAATACGCAACAAGGCTCTTGAACTGCCCGTTTCCCCCGTCTCCCCTGTGGGTGGCTACCGCCTAGAAGGATCTGTCAATGGACTCGCAGTATCGCTACTCGTGGATACTGGCGCAGCAGTGACACTCCTCCGCAAGGACGTATGGGATCGGGTTAGCGTCTCGGAGGGACCTCTGACACCCTGCTCGGCACTGGGACTTGTCGGAGCAGACGGGTCTCCTCTCCAAACGTTTGGCACCACCTCCGTCACTCTGGCGCTGAATGGTGCGACAATGTCGGTAGACGTGGTTGTCGCCAGCCCCCTAACTTCAGAGGGGATACTCGGCCTGGATTTTCTGAAGAAACAGAAAGTTTTAATTGACCTGGAATCGGAACGAATCTTCTTACGCGAGCAGGATCTCTCAATCCCCCTGTGCACGCCAACAGCGGCAACCCGGAGCCGGCGCATTGGAGTCAGAGCTATCAGCAACTTAGAAGTGCCAGCTCGTACAGAAGTGGAAGTAACGATGCGTCTGGATGCCGCTGTCGAAAGTGGTACGTGGCTCCTGGAAGACTCCCGCACAAACCCTGCCCAAAAAGGGATGATGGTAGCTTGTGCTATCATCCAACCACGGTCACCTACAATCCCAGTTCGACTCGTGAATGTCTCGTCAGAACCCATAACCATTTATGCCCAAAAGAGAATTGCCTATGCAGAAGAGGTCGGCGATGTTATTTGTTCAGTTGGAGCATCACAACCGAAACAGACAACAGCGAGCACAATAAGTGAACAGAAGCAACAAATACTATGGGAACTGGTGGAGGTCACGGATGCCGAATTGGACCCTGACCAAAAAGATATATACTACCAGCTCCTGGTCTCATATGCGGATGTTGTCGCCGAGTCTTCAACAGATCTGGGTCAGACTGATTGGTTACAGCACACCATTGACACCGGTGACGCACCTCCCATCCGGCAGTCCGTCCGCCGCCTCCCGCCACAGCGGCGAAGTGAAGTACAACAACTGTTTCAAAGCATGTGGCAGAATGGAGTGGTGGAACCGTCACGAAGCCCCTTGGGCATCACCCATTGTTTCTTGTGAAAAGAAAGA